AGAGATTTTTACTAAGACAAATTCTGCTCACATCTTATAAAAAAATCCATAATAACATGTAGGTTTTGAGGTTTTAAAAGCAGCATTTATCAGAGTAGCAGAAGAAAGGCCCTTGTTAAAAGTCCTGCTGCTTTGGTGATTCTGCTCTATTAACAAGTCTCTATAATGAAAACAGTGGAGTCTAAAAGTGGGAAGAAAAGTTTAGTCATGCTTTCTTTTATGTATATTGCAGGAATATTTTCTCATAAATTTACTTTATTGCTATCTATTAAAGATAATTGAATTTAACATCCTGAGATTTATGGAAATTTTTCTTTGTCTGTATTGCTCCCTTGACAGAATTCTTTTTCATTTCCCTCCCCTTCTTTTCTTTTACCCTCAGAAAGATGCAAGACCCTCAAAGCTAGCAACTGTTGCCACAGAGAGATTAATATATTCTTTGGTCTGTTCTTAGTCTTTGATCTTAGTTTAGTTTAATGTCAGAATCCTGTGATCCAGAGTCCTAGCAGAGAATGCTATGATTTCTCTGTGTTCTGCTCTGACAATAACATAATCCTGTGCTGATTCTTTCCTTGATATTCACAAAGGTATTCTGTGTACATCAGTAGAGAATAGAGGTTCAAAGTCATGTATCATTCTCAAATGTAGAGTCTTGTGCAAAGTTCCTAATCTGTGAAGGGTTATTGACCAATGACCATCTGGTTTTATAGTAGATACTGGTTCTAGACTGGATCTAGATTTCTGATTTCAATTAAAAGTATTTGTAAATATTAGATTCCAGAACAGGCTTTTGATATGAAATTCTTTTGAAGTCTTTCTAAGCTGACTCTTGGGCACGCACTTTATCTGCTGATCAGCAATACAGCTACTGCTTTTTGGTCTTTTTTTCAAATGTGAGGAGACGTTGACAGAAATTGCTGCAGGCAGATCGCTACAAATCAAATTAGCTGTTCAAAATTTGAAGAATTTAACCCTAATTTGCATTTTCTGTTTTGGAAGAGACAAGGTTGGGGACACTGCTGCAAAACACAGCTGCTGTTCCTGCCCTTGTCAGTAGCTTTGCAAAATAGAATAGTTCTGGTGCTCTAAGTACCTGGCATGAGACCACAAGGAGTTTGATGGCATTACATTGTATCAAGGGTGAAAGACTCATTGCTCTTTCTCTGTCTACCCGCTTGGCAGATTGCCAAATGGGAGGGTACTTTGCTGTTGGCAACAGGTAGCCTACAGCTGGTGTTAATTTTATCCTAGGTTTTGTTCATAGTGAAATAGTCCTCTCATAATCATTATGAAGGTCATGTTCTTGGAAACAACATCTCTTTTTAATGGTTGCATTTAGAAAAAATGATTTTGTTTGTAACTGTTGTTTAAAAAAAAAAGTTTTATGAGGAAATTTAATATTAGACAAATAAGTTTTCACTAGTGTAGCAAATTTGGATAAACTTAAATTTTTTTTTAAATATACTCATATTTGTGTTCATCTAACTTTATACTATGTAAGAGAATTTAGATGTCTATTCCGGTGATTTATACTATACTCTTAAGACATCTCTTTTCTGAAAACAGATGGTTCCTGTTCTTGGATCTGAAATGCAGGAATTACACTAAAACAAGATTAAGAAAGCCGTACATACTATGGATGATAAAGTAATAGAGCTACTCATCTCTCCAGTTTTTCTTCAATTTCTCTTGAACGATTACTTATATTTTGTTAGTCAAATGGCAACTATAAAATGAAATATAAACTGTTAATAAAACTATGTACATTTTCTTTTAAACAGATTGCTTGAATCATATGACCCACATTCATCATTTCTTCCGGCTACTTTCCCAATTTTATTAATGTTACTCCTATTTTGTAAGTAGAGTGCAAGAGGTCTCAGTAAATCCTTTTTTGAAAGATGTTATCAAATGAAAGCTGTAGCTCTAAGGTCAGGGTTTTTGTTTGCTGGTTTGAAAACCCTCGATATTTCAGAACAGGTTCACTAGGTGTTATGAGGTGAAATTGGATTGAATTTACGATCTTTAAATCCAACACATTTTCTGAAGCTTTCATTTATGCACTTAAACATTGCAGATAGAATGTACTTCTCACTTAGTTTGGAACAGCTTGTAGCTAAACAATCTTTATTTTGAAAGACATGAAAGAATATTAAAAAGCCACTCTGAGGGGGAAACCAAAGGTCTATCTAACTGAATCTTCTTTTTCTTATAGTGACCCATAGTGATGCCTAGAAAAGAGTGTGACAGTAAGGCAAACAAAAATAGTGACCTTTCCCCCACTGTAGTCCCACTAACTTGCAGTCTCTGACTTGAGGGCTTTGAGTCACGTTCTGCCTTAAGGTTGTGTGCTAACATGAAAACTGACTTATTTTCTGCCAAGCAGTTACTTTGGATCAGAGGAGTTTTTCAATATATGTGGATAACAGGTAACCTGTTGGCAAAAAAGTCTTTGGAGTACTATTTAAAGACAGGCCTCCTTTAGTTGATACAGCAATAACACTCTTCACATGTAGAAGTAATTAAAACACGTTGTCCTCCTGAATCTTCTTTTAAGAACCGCAGGGTTTTCCAGGATTAATTGCAGCATTTTTATTGCTTTGTTTTTGACCTCCCCAGATGTCTCTTCTCCCGTTCCTTCCTCACCATGTCAAAAATAGTGAAAACTCTGTCGGCTGGTGTCTATGTTGCGTTACTTTTTCTTTTTCTTTTTTTTGAACATGTCCCTGAAATAATATTGATTTATTTTCTGAAAAAGTGTTTGGACTTGGAGATACATCAAAGCTACTATGTACAGAAAGTACCTACCTTAGTTTGCTTTCAAGGGTCTTCAAGAGGTAGTGCCTAAACAATTACTGTTCTAATATTTAATATATGATTCTTTATTTCTTTCGTTTACCGAAATGAGATGAACCCCAGTGCAAAGGACTTTGGGAGCTATAAGCTACCTTTTGTGATGCTGAGTTACCTTTTTGCTGATAGCTCCCTTGTAACTTTTCCAATTTCCATGTCCAAATCCCTCAGTTTCTGCTAGTGCTATCAGTCCTTTGGCTTAAGTGTAAGATTTTAACAAAATCCTATTATTTACATTTTGATTTACTGTGACTCTGATCTGATTATTCTCCTGTTTTCAAGCAAAAACATTATCTGTAGATAAGTTATTCCCCCTCGAGCTGTGATCCCTTATGATTCTACCCTGCATAGGAATATTGTCTTATTTATTATTGTTGTTTGTCTTCAATATTTTACCTTTTTCCCTTTAAGAGATTCATCCAATGCTCTCTCTCCTTCTTCTTTTTGAAGTTTTTATGTATTTGCAGCATAAAACATTGATTGCTGGCTGGCTATCACTTTTTTTTTCCCCCCACAAGAAATGCTCCTTAGGAGCAGATACTGTTGAGTGGGAAAAGAATACTTTCGTACAACTAGGAGAATGTTTCATTGTTGACATAACTGTTTTTTAATGATGTGGTATAACATTTCGCGTTAGGCAGCAGACATGCTAATCTCTTCATTAACCTCTTAATCTGTATAACAGGACTTCACTGTTGATGCATTCACTGTTAAACTAATTTTCAGCCTTCCTTTTACCTCTTTTAACAAATGCTTATTCCTTACGCTATCTATTTATTTCCTAAACTTACTAGCTTTTTCTCTGTAACAGATTTTTAAAAATAATTTCGTACATGCTTCTTTTTGTAACCTTTTGTTGTTCTGTTAATGTTACGGTTACCTGATTTCTTATTTTAACTCTTTCTTATTGGAATTGGTGTATTTAGAGTTTCACTGCCTCTGTTGTTAAGAAGTCTGTAGTCTTTTTGTTAGCTTCTTGCCCACATAATTCCAGAATCTCAGGGTTTTTGATCTGTTACATTGTTATTCGTGTGCCGAACAGCATCAAGAGCGCATAGTTTAGCAAAATCTATTTCAGAAAGATGCAATGTTCTGTTCCATTTTATGAAGATTCAGGGTACTTCAAGAAATAGCTTGGTCATGCAATCACATATCTGTAAGTATCATGTAAGTATCCACTGTAAGTATCCACTGACATATCATGTCAGTGGAACCTATGTGCACGCTTAAAATTAAATACACATAAAGTATTAGCTGTTATTGGTGAGGGTTTTCTCAGCTAGGAGCAAGTTCCTGCCAGCAAATAGGAGGCGTGTTGACAGAACAAGCGTTTTAATGATTCTTCTTTAAGTGATGTCTATATTTGACATATGTAAAGAAACAAAACCAAAACACTGACTTGACAGTTTGGCACTTATTTTTGATGAGATGATCGTGATGCTGCATGTTTAAGTGAAATTTAAAAGCTGGTCAGCAAGCACTAGGTTCAACAGAACTGCAGCTATTTTCTCTTAAATAAGACTACAGTCTTCTGTGATGAATTATGATTAATTTGGCATCTTATATTTAGAGCATTTTTCTAGTTCATGGAAAGCTGCTGTTCCCGAGTTTGTCCACTTTAGAGATCCTGATTATAAACCTCGTATTTATTTCGTTTTATATTCCTCTGATGCTAACTCAGGAGTGCTTTTAGATTTTAATAATTTTTCTAATGCAGAAATTTTGGGTTTGTTCAGCATACTTTTACACTGTGCCTGTGTTGTGACATATAGAGGTTATATTTTCCACAATATGCTGTGTGGCATAATTCAGATTCTATGGACCGGTAGCATGTTTAAAAAACTAGTAGTTAATCTCGAATCACAAATACAAAGTTAAATTAGAATTTTACAGGACATAGTGAAAATAAGATTATGATAAAAAATGAACCAACCAAATTACCCTTATGCTCAAAGTATGAATAACTGTAAACAGACAAAATATAGAGTAGATGGTGCTCGATGTTGTTACAGTATGTTATCACTGTTGTACATGTTACAAGAAATAATTGTTTATACATCTATTAGTGAAATTTGCAAAACTGTTATGCTGTTTTCTCCATGTTTCCAGCTCTATAAAACAGCATTTTTCTCCTTACTTTTTTCCAGCATATGCTACTAGCAATGAAGTTTGTCATGGCATTTGTAATTCCTGATAAACCAAGAGATATCCGGATAAAGTTGGCTAGATTGGAATTTGAATCTCTGGAGGCACTCAAACAACAGGTAAGAGCAACTAACTTGTAAAACAGTGAAAAGCTATAGGGACGTTAAAGAAAGATAAATCAGGAAGATTGTCTACTTCAGTTCTAGGTGAATAAATGCCAGGGATGTTGAAATTCCTATAACATTGTATTCAGTTTAGCTGATTAAAGCTATTCTGCCTCTGCCCAGGAGGTTGCTGTGCCCACAGTTTGGGTGGGTGAATGGGGTGTAGAACAGTCACTGTACAGTGTACAGCCCATGGTATTAAATAAATAGAAATCAGCATTGGTTTACTTCTACATGCTGGCCTGTAAACTGTAGCATTTCTGATACTGCTTCACTTTCTGTTAAGCCATCACTACTTGAGGCAGGAGGTAGACAGATGGAAGTTTTAACTGATTCATCTGTCCTTTTAATCCACCAATGTATGCGAATCAACACCAGGAAGATAGTCTTATTTGCAGACAGTTTGAAATTTCTGATATTCCTAGTAATACAGAAAATTGTAATGTGTGTTGTCCTTGTGTGTGCATGCATAATTTGTTTATAATGTCACTTTTTTAAAGGACTTTGGGCTCTATGAATGAGTAAGCCGGGATGTGTATGTTTGTTTCAACACTATAATTATTTTTCTTACTGAAGTACCATCACAAGTAAACAGTAACTCACATAAACAGAAATTATAAACACACTGACATGAACTTTTTAAAAGTTATTGAAATAATTGCATTGAGAACTAAGTATGCATGTGGAAAGTGTAACATTGCCTTAATTTCCTGTCCACACAATATTCTCATTTGGTTGTGTAAGTGTTTTATGATATATTTAACAAGCATTCCAAAGCAATTTAAGGAAATAAGGTGCTAGATTTTTCTCCTGAAATCACCTATTTAAGCAAATGCTTCCATAGAGATAATGGTGGAGATCACAGAAATGAAGAATTGTATGGGATTAGCTTCAGTAGCGTACAAGGATTCCACAAAGCTGGTTCTGCAATGGCAGTATACTGTAGGAGTTTCTAACTGTATAATGCTAGATAGGAATTTCTAAACTAGCTTAGATATCAGAAACACAATAGCAGGGGGCTGCAAAGAGTAATTCACCTATATATTCCTACCTCAGATATTTTTACACTATGCTGCATTGTTTTGCTGTGAACACATCCTTTGTGTTCCACATGCAGATGCGTAACCTTCTTTGATATTTGTGTAGAATTGGAGATCACTTTTTAAAACATCTACTAAAATTGCATGTGACAAAATGCTCTGTTAATTCTGGACAAACTGAGCCCGGAAATAATACATTGCCTTTTCTAGTAAAAACCCACATAGTCTCATGTGGTAGAACATCTCTATCTAGGTCAGCACTGTCTTCCATAATCAAGCATAACAAATAAAACCCAAATTACAATTGAAACTACCACCTGATAGTTTTGTTTTCCCTTTCTCTAATATTTCTGTGTGAAGTAACCAGGAGCTGGTCATGCATCTCATGTACTTTTTAGATAATTCTAAAAGGAACAGGACTGCAATTCTGTTTTAGTAGTTCTATCTCTGTTTTTATTTTGTAGACAGGCAAAACTAGGTCACCGCTGGAACCTTAAGCTCAAGTGAATACAGTCACCTTTGGTTATAACGTGCCAGCTGGAAGTCTGTTCCAGTATGAGTGTACATGTCAGCAGTTAGGACTTAATCTCCTATCCCTGCATCTGTGCATTCACTGTAATAGCATATGCCGAATCGCTTGTTCTTCAGAGTTGTTCCATTAATAAAAGTTTAGTCCATAGTCCATAGTAAAAGGTTAGTCTGAATTTCAGTACGAGTCTGAACCCCGGCAGTTCTCTAATGCTTTCAGTTCGAACCTTTTTACAGGATTGAGGAAGAGTATTGGCTGGTTTTAGGATGTCTAAATGCAAGTACCCACCATGGCCTTTTTAGATTTCCTCTGACTGATTCCATGCTATGTATTTCAAAGATGCATAGAAATTTGAGATTTTTTTCTACTGCCTTTGTTTTTTGAGTGCATGGAGTGTAAAGTATCTGTATTTAAAAATAATACATTGGCAGTGCAAAAAGATATTGAAGCGTTTACTTTAGGAGTATATTTTCAAGTTCTTCTAGCTAAATACATGCAGATTGTTACAGATACATCTCTTGGTATTAAGAGTCGTCATGGTAATTTAAGCCATATATTTTACTTTCAAACAGCGTCCTCCACTCCCCTCTTGTCCCACCCTCCCTCAACTTCCAAAACAGTGTAGATATAAAACCCTGGGGCAAACATGCTGTGGGCTCACATGTTACATAGAAATCAGTTTGTATACTTTCATGCAAGTGTGTTTCACATCCCTCTCTAACGCCATCCAGACATACATACTGTTGTGTTCTGCCATGTGAGATTTATGTTAAAAGTGACGTCTATTTTTTCAGTGCTTTTGGACCACCGCTCCCTTGGGACGTAGATACTAGAGGGATATTAACACAACTGGGCTGTAATCTTCTAAGTTACATGACAAAATAGGATATTAATGCGGGGGGAGCAAATCTCCTAATATAGCTACTTTGAACAGTTGCATTGATTACGTTTGGGATCCTTAACCTTAGATGGTGTGAACACGTCCATATTTTCATTACTGCTAAGATAATTGCTTTTTGACCTGGTACAGCAGGGCTAACTATTCCGTGTTCAAATCCATTTGCAAACTGAGTTAGTGTCCCTTTGGAAATGATTTTAGGGAACGCAGCCTTCTAGTTCCCTGACAGATGTGAACGATGATCATTAGAGCTTGTTTAAAAACTCCTATATGGTAAAAAATGCTAAAATCTCAGAAAAGCTCATTTTATATTGGAATGACAGTCTGTCGTTTTGAAGTTCTCAGACTTTAAGGAAGGTCTTTAGAAAGTTACGAAATGTTTCTTTTCAACATTTCTTTACATATTTTGTGTTGAGAGGAAATAGTCCATTGAATAGGTTGAAATAATTCCCTATATTCTGAAAATACTTTGTTTTGATGTATTCAGTGTGTTTTTTGGCATACCTCAAAACAAAGTATTTTAACCATTCTGAATCCAGATCAGGGAATATGCTAAATCCATGGATGTTGATTTCAGATTTTCTTGGTGTCCTTCAGGGCAGAGAATGGTGGAGGAGGCTGGCAGGACTTTGATTTGAAGGGTGGAAGTGAGCATAATGAACTCAGTAGCAGAGAATTAAGGACAATAGGGTGCAGGGTTGTTGGAGGAAGAGGAGTCCCATTTAAGGTGTTGTCAGTTTCTGTCATCCAGAAACAAGCATAGATGTTGGGCCACTGGAAATGGGTACTGTCTGCTACTAGGATGATGGACCCTTGTCCGGTAAACATGTGATTCCTCTTAGGAAAGTAGCTAACTGGTAAAAGTGGGATGAGATGCAAGAGACTCTTTCCCTCTGCCTCACATCAGTCCTCTGCTCTGTGGCATCTGTTTTCTTGCAAGTGTGGAAGCATTTTGTCTAATTCCTGTTTTAAGGGAGTGAGACCAGCTATAGATGTGCCTGCCAGTAGCAAGGAACAGTCAGTTAATCCTTGAGCAGCTCAGGAATGACAGTGGTTTATAGGTGAGTCCCAGTGCTGTAATACTAGTGTGTGAGGATGCTGCAGCATTAGAGCAAGCAGAAAAGACCCATTTTCGAAGGAGAGGCTGGACTTTGTCCTGTGACAGACTGAAGAGCACAGAGCAAGAAACACGCCAGACTACAGTTTCTGGCCCCGGGGCCCATTTGGGTTCTGTCTTATGAACTGAAGAACAGAGAGGTCCTGATTCTTTAGCTTGTTAGCTATTTCTTTTTTTTGCTTCTTTGATTGTGCCTCATCAAAAACCTCCTTTCCTCCCATCTTCCAGAAGATCAATCTAAAGTAGATGATAGAATAAAAATAATTATATTCCTTCTGGCAACGATGTTCCAGTGGCAATGAAAGCTACACTGATATGTATTTTAGCTTCTGCACAGATCAAAGTTTCATGAATAGACAAAAGGGTTCACTGGCCCTTGAGGCTGGAGATGGGTCAGCAGTCTATCCTTGTGAAAGGTCCAAGTTCCAGAAACACAAAACAACTACACAGTAAACAGAATAACTTGTATTTTGTGGGCTAGGTTAGTTACCTATGCTACAGGCATTTTAAGATCTTCCCAATATTACGTCCTCTGGATTGATGCATACATCAGATGAATGATGCATCTAATTTCCACACTGAAATTAGACCCAGGCAAACCAAATGAGAGACAATTGGGGAAAAATAATTATTGATGCAATTATTTTCTAATCATGAAATACAGAGACAGTAATAAGTCCAACATACTGTATAACTAGTCGTTGTTATTTTAAGGAAAAATAAAATTTTAAATAGTGGTGAAGGATATATTTTTTCGTAAAATGCAACTACCTAGACAATATCAGGACTAGTTCAGAAAACAAAAGTTTATTGATGTAAAAAAGCTTTTTTGTTTGTTTTTATGGAACTTGTGCAGGAAAAAACAAAGTTATATAATTTAGATAAAGATGAATTTCCCTATAGCATTTTCTTTACCATATCAGCAGAATAAACACAACACAGATAGCAGCAATAAAGAGAGAAATAAATATTGATGCAAAAGAACTTACTTTTTCACAGTAACTGTAGAGGAAGAAAACTGTGCTTAAACATAAAAAGGAACAGAAGTATGTTTTTTGGGGGCATTTTTTGTTTGTTTTGTTCTGTGCAACCCTTCCCAGTTCTCTCTCCACCCCCTCACCCTTTCCACCAAGGGGACCTTTATATAAAAATCCCTTCATCCTTGTGCTCTAACTTCCTTTCTTAAGGTGGTGGCCAGTATCTTCTAACAGGAATGCCTTTTCTTTCTAATAAGTGAACCTTTCTGTACTCTGAAGAAGCACACCCATCTGTTGGATGTTATGGTACATGCTCCACCAAAAAGAGATTCCAGGTAGTAGATACTTGCTCCTGAGCAAGGGGCATAGTCAGCTGGTTCACAGTCAGCATATA